AAAAATGTGCAAAATGATGTAAAAATAATCTTTGTAAAAAAAAAAAAGATGTGGTACATATACATAATGGAATATTACTCAGCAACCAAAAAAAAAAAAAAACACATGCCTTATGCAGCAGTATGGATGGAGCCGGAAACGATCTCATGATTAGTGAAATAAGCCAGAAAGAAAAGGAAAAATACTGGATGGTTTCACTCATAGCAGGAGTATAACAGACCAGGTGAGAAATAATGATGATGAACAGCTATATACCAGAGACATTTTGTGGGGGTGGAGTGGGGTATGGGATCAAAAACAGTGGGGGGAGGTAAATGCACTGGACTATGGTGATGGGAAGCCCATGGGTATTACAACTGAGATGAAAAAATGCACAAAATGATGTAAAAATAAACTACTATATTATTTTTCAAAAATCACTCTGTGAACCAAGACTAAACTACTCTCTGACTGGAGAATCAAGTTCATGTTATCTCCCCTAGGGAGATGCACAATAACTAGTCAACCATGAACTTCATTATCATACACTTAGACTACAATAATTGATAATAATAATAAGTCCGTGTTCATAGTAAATTTAGGGACACAAATGTCTGATATGTGTGGATAAGATGAGAGTCAACAGGAAGCAAAAAGCAAAAAAAGCAAAAGCAAAACACCTGGAAATTTAAGTATGGCTTTATTCTTTATTGTTGGTTAATAATTATAGGTGTAATTTTATAAAATGCTTTGTTTGGTTGTCATTTTAGCAACTGTTTTAACAAACTGAAAGCATTTTCATTTGCAAGGTAATAACTAACTGCCTTCCCTGGTAGAATAGTATAGAAAGTCATTATTGAGCACTTGCAGAGTATAGGTGCCAGTGGTCTAAATAGCATTTTTATATACAAGTGGAAAAAGAAGAGTGTTTACACTGAAAACTGTCTCAAGGAATGTAATTTTTCCACTATTAACTTGGAAAAGGACTTCCTGTCTGGTATAAAATTCCCACAGAACCTGGAAAATAAATTAATCTTAACATTTTGTGAGGTTGTAAAGACTAAAAAATGATTCATTTTTATTTTCCATTAAATATCCTATGAGTAATAAATGCTTCCTTGCTTTATATTTACCATATACATTGCTTTTTAAATAGTGAAAAATTGTAAGCACCCATTATGTTCTCCTATGATGAATAATGTAATGTTGCCTCATATGGAAGGAAATTAAACCAGTATGTCCTTATCAGTTTCTTATCAGTAGTTGAGCATTGATAGTAGTCTATGACTGCCAAATTAAAAACAAACAAATTTATAGTGTTCTTAAATCAAATATAATTTATTAAATTACCTTAAAAACTAAAATATAATTGTAAATACATAAGCCCTTATTGTATTAATATAATGTTCTGTTGTACCATAAAGACCATAGTGAAAGAGATAAAGTTAATGGAGTCTGGGACTCTGGTCCATTTCGCTTAGCCAGAGGTAAATTTCCTTAGAATATTGACAGATGTTATATGGATTTGAAGGGTGGACATGAACTGCCCAGCAAACTGTAAACTCAGAAATGAGAGGAGAGTATGAGGTGTGTCACTTGGAGTAAAGAAATCTAAACACAGAAATGCAGATAGAAAAGAAGCAGAAGAAGGCTGCTTTTCATGAGATGTAGTAAGCAAGGAATCCAGAGTCATAGAATATTACCATCTGAAACATTCAGTCAGTAAAATCAGTTAATTGTTGTGAAGTGTTAATGAATGGATCTTATTACTTCTGTCATTTAATGTTCCTACAAACAATAGATAGGTGGGAACAATCGTGCCATAGTAATGCAATTTGTGTATCCTATGTGACACTGAGGAATCTGAGTTAACAAGAAAATACTTCTTTTTTTTCTATTTGGGATAGGGTAAGGGACAATCTGATTTCTTGTATGTATTGTTACACATTGCTACCTTGAGAGAGAGGTGTAATGTGGCAGTTCAGAGGTTGACTGGTGCACAACTGTCCATGGCATGGTGTTGAAGAGTTATCTTCTAAGGACACTTCCTACCTCAACTGCTAAATGGTGACCATACAGCACATATCTCTCTGGGGAGGATTAATGAAGTGTGAATTAACTGAGCTAGAGGTAAATGTGGTGTGCTTAAGGTGGTACCAGTGTTAGCTGAGTGTCTCTACCCCTTCAACTGTTTGCAGTCCACCAGGTTGGCAGAACTTGTGAATTTGCAGCAAGCAACTGGTTAATGATCTGCTGAAAATGAGCACAAAGACTGTCCTACATTTCTATTCAACTCAGAACATTGCCCTCGATTTGTAGAATTATCAATGAATCAGTAATGCTCATGGACTGAAGTTGGGCTTCCAAACCACCAATTCTTAAAGAAGTGTCAGAATCTCTTTCAACATTTCTCTTTTTCCATTTCAACTAGACTACCAAATTTATTCAAGATGGAAAATATTGCCAAACCTGACCACATATAATGCACTTAATCTCCAGAAATAGTACTTTTTGAGTCCTATCTTTGAAACAAAATTAATGACAAGTATTGTATAGCCAAGTTTGGGTATGAGACATAGATAACATTGTGCTGTAACTTAGGATCAGGCAAGTACTCAAACCGACATGACAAGGAAAGGAAAGGACCTAACCATCATATCCGAACTCTGAACCCAGCCACAGTTTCCAAGCCCAAAAAAGAGTGTTTATGTGCTTTCCTATTTTTATACATGTTTTTCTATTTTTTTTTTACTTATTTCCTATATTAGTCCACCTTACACACAATTATGTTAATAGGAAAGATCAAACACAAAAGGGGAGAAGACAAAGAATAAAATTTATTTTCACCTATGGATACAAAAATCCATAAAGATGTTTTTCACAGAGCAAGTAAGCTAGGGGTCCATAAATTTGACTTACTACACACTAATATTTTGTAGAGGTAGTAGAACTTTATTAAAGTGAATATGGTGACTTTTTATTTTGTAATCTATTGTAGAATCTATTAATATCACATCTATTCTTTTTTAGGTGGGCACATGGTTTTTACTTCAGACTTCTAGCAAGTATCACAAAGAAGAAAACATTCTGAAGAATCAAGTTTTCTGTCAAGTCTAATCACATCTGTCTTAACAAGAAAAAGGAAAAATGAAGCACATGATCAATCTATCTGAAAATATCAGTGATACAGCAAGAAATAATTCAGACTGTCCTTATATGCCTATGCCAAAAGAGGTATTTTTCATAATCTCCATCTTTGGAGTTTTGGAGAATCTGCTTGTCCTTCTGGCTGTTATCAGGAACAAAAATCTTCAGGTACCCATGTACTTTTTCATTTGTAGCCTGGCCATTTCAGATATGCTGGGAAGCCTGTCTAGGTTCTTGGAAAATATCCTGATGATGTTCAAGGACTTGGGTTATTTCAAGTTTTATGGAAATTTTGAAACCACAGCAGATGACATCATGGACTCCTTGTTCATCCTCTCCTTACTTGGGTCCATCTTCAGCCTGTCTGTGATTGCTACTGATCGTTACATCACAATCTTCCATGCTTTGCAGTACAACAGCATTGTGACCATGAGACGTGCCATTGTCACCCTGACAATCATCTGGACATGCTGCACAGGCAGCAGCATCATGATGGTTATTTTTTCCCACGATGTTCCCACAGTGATCACCTTCACATCATTGTTCCCTCTCATGTTGGTCTTCATCCTGTGCCTGTATGTTCACATGTTTCTGCTGGCCCGATCCCATGCCCAGAAGAGCTCCATCTCCTCCCTTTCCAGAACTAACATGAAAGGGGCTATCACATTGACTATACTGCTTGGAGTCTTCATCTTCTGTTGGGCCCCCTTTGTCCTTCATGTCCTTCTAATGACATTCTGCCCACATAACCCTTACTGTGCCTGCTATATGTCCCTCTTTGAGGTGAATGGCATGTTGATTATGTGTAATGCAGTCATTGACCCCTTTATCTATGCCTTTCGTAGTCCAGAGCTCAGGGATGCATTAAAAAAGATCATTTTCTGCAATAGGTACCAGTAGAATTATTGCTCTCTGGTTTTAGTAGCAATGGGGTAACATTGTCATTTAACAATAAATAACCTGGCTTATGAATAAATACTACTGTTTCCAACTGTCTCTTCTTTCCCTAAAGTGCTTGGGGATTATCTGACTAATATTTACAGCTATATTCTGTCTGAACAGTCTTCCTGTACATATAATTTTTGTAAGTGAGAGAAAATAATGTACATACTATTCTGGCTTATGATGGGGTTATGTCCCATTAAACCCAATATAAGTTGAAAACATCATTAAGTCAAAAATGCTGACCAGGATTTGTGATTCACTGACACTTCCCAGCATCACAAGAGGGTAGTAATTCACTAAATATGAATTGCTTTCACACCACTTGTAAATCAAAAGATCATAAGTCAAATAATTAAAAGTAGGTACCATTCGTACTGAAAGATAAAAGTACATGTAGCAATACTGATTTAAGACCTTTGGGTTCATGAACATTTTCTTTGTATTTTTCCCATTTATTCCTCAAAATTAAAAATATTGAGACTTGGAATAGACTTCCCAGTTTATTATATAAACTGGTAGATGATTTTCTATTGAAATCTAAATGTTCCTTGTTTAAGCCATTATAAAGGTGGTGGTTCTCTGGCTTATTTATCTTAATCTTTTAAAATTTAGTATTCTAGTGAAGTACAATTGTTTTACATCCTTGGGAATGTTTTGAGGATATAGAATTTCTCGTCTTATGCGTGGTCACACTCTCCCACCACCAAAGCACCCAGTCTTTCACTCTAGTCCACTGTGATTTTCACACCCCTGATCCTAACTCTCCACCTCTCAGATCCTTCTATTCTAGATGCTTCAGGTTCATGGTTAGTGTTCAAGAATTGTATTGTAATGTTTATCTTTAAACTTTTGTTTGGTCTCTCTATATTACACATAGAATGACACTACTTGGTATTTATCTTTTTGCTAGCAAAATCCCTTCCAGTTTCGTCCATGTTGCTGCAAATGGCATGAGTTTAACTTTTTGATTGCTGAGTAGTATTACATTGTATATATTTACCACATTTTCTAGATACACTCATCTGTTTTAGGTAGTTTCTATAGTTTTCCTATTGTAAATAATGCTACAATAAAACAGAAGTAAAAAAAAAAAAACCAGAAGTACAAATTTCCTTTTAAATTTGTGGGTTTTTTGAATACATACCTCAGGATGCAGTTGTTGGGTCACATTGCAGGTCAATTTTTAGTGTTTTGAGGAGTCTCCATGGGGAATGGACTTAAGACCACCTTCTATAGGCACTGGACCAGTCTACATTACCAATCACAGTTCAAGAGGGTTCCTTTTTCTCCATACTCTCATGAGCACTTGTTATTTATGGTCTTTTTTTTTTATGGCCATGCTCTCTGGTATGAGGTGGTATCTTTTTTTTTTTGGTATTTCCCTGATTACAAGTGATGATGAACAATTTTTAATATTTGCATATCCTCTTTGAAGAAGTTATCAATTTAATTATTCTGCCCAATTTTAGGGGGATAAGGGAAAGTTTGATTTTGTTGTTGTTGAGTTAGTTGCATGAGCTCTTTGCTATCAGTCCCTTATTAGATGTACAGTGTGCAAATATTTTGTCCCATTCCATGTGTTGTCTCTTAATTTTAGTTATTCTCTTTCACTGTGCCAGTTTTTAGGTTGATGTATATATATATATTCTCCTTTGTGTTCTCAAAGCTGGGTCAAATCTGTAAAGCTGTGGCTGAGTTTTATGTTTTAGAGCATTTTTTTCTATAGTTTTCTCTTTGTATTTTATTGTTTCTGGTCTCACATAAAAGTCTTTAGCCAAATGGACTTGACTCTTTGGGATCTATTTTGGGTATATATGAATTTAATTAATATTTGTTCTGTTGTTTAAAAGAATTACAAAAAGATATTTATTGGGATTTTATTGAATCTGTAAATTGCTATAATAGCATGGCAATTTGACAATGTAGATTCATCCAGTCCAAAAGTAGTTGACTCATCCAGTCATTCCTTTTTGTCCACAATACATATTATATGTATATAATTAATACAAAGTATACTGAACATATAATACATATATAATATATATTCAATGTATAAGATATTGAATATATAACATATAATGTATATTCAATATATAAGTATTTGTGTGAGATTATAAATGGAATGTCTTTCTTAAATTCTTCTTCTAGTGCATTATTTGTATAAAGGAAGGTAACTGATTTTTGTGTGTTGATTATGTAACCTGACACATTGCTTAACTGGGTTATTGTTTTAATTTGTCTTTTCATGGAGTCTTTAGGGTTTTATTTATTACATCATCTACAAATAATGCCAGTTTTACTTCTTTTCCAGTTTGGATTACTTTTATATATTACTTTATATTACATTATATTACTTTATATTACATTATATTACTTTTAATGGTTTGCTAAGATTTGATTAAGTATTTTTACAGCTGTGTTCATTAGGGAAATTGTTCTGCAATTTTCATTTTTGTGTGTTTGATTTTGGTATTAGTATAAATTGGCCTCCTGTATTTTAAGCATTCATTCTTTCTCAATTGTGAAAGTATTTGAGAAGATTAGGTTCATTTTTGAACATTTAAACTTATTCTTCTGTAATATTAGTTAGCTTATAACTAGGGTGACCTTTCCATGCTGGAGTAAATGTAAACAACAGAAATTTATGTACCAAGGAAAGTCCTTAGAGCAGAGTCTACAAGATTTATGTAAGTCAAAGTTGCTAACAAATTGGTATTACAGTTAAATTTTCCTATCCTATTCTGCCATAAAGCATCTTTTTCTTTTCTACCCACCTACTCTAGTGTACACCCTCTCAAATGGTGTAGGTGGTATGTTATTAACATGGAAAATAACCAGCTGTGAGTTCCTAATAATAAAGAGAACTTTGTTAGTCTCTTTGTCATTCAGTATGCCACTGCCTTTCTTGGCTAAAGTTACTTACTTTTTAAAACAGAAATTTCAAAGGAGAAAAAGAAAATAAAAATTTTACCCCTTTGGTTCCTATGTGGAATAAAGGCCAGAAGAAAAGTGTGATTACCTAGAGATGCTATAACTAATCTTTATATATTTATCTAGTTGTAGATGTAAAAGAGGCCACAAGCCCAATCCTGTCATTATGAAATAAGGACAGGGATGGGGTGTGAGGAGAAGAAAAGGAGAAAAATGGAGAGAGAGAGAGTTTTCACCATGCTTTGAATTATGGGGAAAACCAAGACCTAAACAACACTTTAGGCAATAGTGCTTAGCCATTTTATAAAATGAACAGTTCACATTCATCCACAGATGTCTGCGAAGTAGATCCATTCTAATGTAATTCATTCTACCAGTAGCCTTAGGAAAGACACCATATACTGAAAAGTAGTATCACCAATGAAAGTAAACAATTTGTAAGGCTGCTCATCTTTAATAGTTAAAATAAAGCTTAAATGTAAAGCAAATTCTGGCAGTAACTCCTTGCTAATTGGAGACTAATTTAAAGTTATGCCAAATTAAAGATAGAGGAGAATGATAAGGACATAAGAGGCACAAGGTAGATAAGGACCTGTGGGTTTGGAAACTATTTTTTTCTCTTCTATTACATACTAATTATACTAAAGATCTTTTCCATTGAAATTCTTATGCACTAGAGTATGTTTTTTTCTTGATGCAACAGATTGAGAAGAGCTGAGACCAAGAGAATGTGAGGAATGGGAAAGGCTGAGACAGGGACAGTGATTTTAAACAATATAGGAACAAAAGAACAAAACAGCTCCCGGGAAATTAGAAGTGTTTTACTGAAATGTTTCTGAGCTAGCCACCACCTTGAATAAGATCCAGTTACAGGATAATTATGGAATAGAGAAACAACCACAGGAACTTCCCAATCATCTAGCAGCTAATCCATAGTCTGGCATATTGAGCAACAGGAAATTTGAAAGGATATATTCATAAACCCGGCTGAAATGAACAGGCAGCCTCCCATGGACTCCTTCCTGCTGTCAGGAGTGCTTCTTCCCTCTTGCTTCAATAAATTCACACTTGTTTGCTCTAACACTTGGTGTGACAACTGTTATTCTTCAATTTGTGCACACACCCAGGCCCATGAGCATCTACTTTCCTAACATTTGTGGTACCCAATGTGAGGCCTGAAGGGCTCAACTGATTAAAGAAAATGTAAGTAGACCCCTGAAAGACCAGCATTCTTTAGCCCTCTGCTTTCCTATTTTTATAATGGCAGCAGTCAGATACCTTAGGTGACAAGTGTGGCAGCCAATCTTTAAGTCTCGGGAGACAGGTTTCTGAGTGACACATGCTCACTTGGCCCCCACTCCCAAGGGGTGGAATGTTAGCATGTGGTCCTCCCCTTACCAACTTTTTCTGTCATTTCAATCTTCTAAACCACAATATTAGTGGTTAAGAGAATAGCTGTCTCGGTTTCTTGAACACTTGTCCTTAGGCTCTTCCTATCTTGAGCTGGTTTAGTTAGCGATGGGACCTACTTGATGTAAAACTCAAGTTCATGGCCCTCCCTGGTGGCACAGCGGGTTAAAGCACAGCACTGAGAAGCTAAAGCCACTTCCACATGAGTTCGATTGCCGCCTGCCCGGGAGGTGACCACATGGTGCGGCAGACCTCTCCTGACCCACCCGCTGCTCCCCTCAACAGTGTACTTCCTCAATCTGCCTGTTCTGCTCCCCACTCTGCCTCTGGTGAAGCCTCTCACCACTCCTGAGCCTCTGGCCTGTACCCCAGTTCTGTAGGCACAAATAAATAAATCTTAAAAAAAAAAATTCATGTTCAAGCTCTCCTTCAAGCCTCCTGTATAAATTAGTTTTGTCATCCCTGAGGCAAGTTGATTTGTTCTATGCCTCCATATAAGACCATCTGGCCATTTGTCTAGCAGCAGTTCTCTTCCCAGAATCCCCTCTCACAGTAAAGAATCCCCTCTCACAGTAAAGATATCGGTGTGGGCTGACTTTGTGGACTTTATTTAC